TATTTTCAGATTAATCCCATTCGATTAGTTAATATCATGTTATTTCTGATGAGCTTGTGATTGTTCATCTGAAAAAGCATGCCATCTTCACATTTATTCGATTGTTTTTTCGCTCAAATCACGATGCCATCGGACCTGTCAAATCATTATTGAGGTTAAGTATACTGGGATTGAGTAATTGGAGATGAACCTCAGGTTGAGCAGTGGCCATTCAACTAAAGCCCGGCGAAGCGTTTCGCGTAATAGCCTAACGCTGGGCTGTGAGCGCGTGACGCGGCTCAACCTCGGGTACATGTGACGCGCGTGTTGTTTATTCCAAGCTGGGGCGGAGTGGCGTATTTCTAGCTGGGATACGGGTTCCGAGCCGAGCTCGAGCAGCGTGATTTCTACCCGGGTTATTCCCTCACTCCTGTCACATCAGGGCCATTGTATGCAATGAGGGGCTCACTCGACCAGGAAATTTTTTGTTTTTCATATGTATATCAATATGAAAAATTAACAGTCGAATTATCAAAATCTGGCAGCTATAATACTCCAAGACCTTCAAAATTATCGAATATTTCCCGAATGTTTTGCTGCATAGCAACGCGAGGGATCAGTTTTGCAATAGAATCTCTCGTGCTATGCACTCGGGATTTTAATCAGCAAAACTAATCCCTCTCGTTGCTATCTCTTCCTCGCGCTGCGCGCTCGGGATTTTAATCTGCAAAACTGATCCCCATCGTTGATATGCAGAAAAACTTGAGGGAAATATTCGATGAGTTTTGAAGGTCGAGGGGTATTCGGAGGACAATTTCTTCAATTTTGATTCTAGCCGATCAGTGTGCGGTGTTCGAGGTTACGGGACATATTTCACCAAAATGAGGAATATCTGTCGAATTCGTAGAAAACAATTCACAGGCTACAACGAAATTATCAGTGTGAAACGTGTCACGTGATCCCAAATACCCCACTCTGATTGGTCAAAATCAGAATTGAGGAAATTGTTATATGTAATAGCACAAGAGCTTCAAAATTGTCAGATATTTCCCGCTATGTTCGTTGTAAACAAATGTAGGAGTCAAGTTTTTCAGGTTAAAAAATCACGAGTGTAAAGCATGAGTTTACACCTATTTTTCCCGAGAAAAGAGTACGAGGCAGCGCAATTTAGGAAAAACTGAGGGACCGGAGTGGGCATCGAATTCGCCCTCGGAGATTGCAGGTTTGTGGTTGTCACCGCAAATTTGAAGGTCTTCACATTTCCCGATCAAATTGTAATCTTTATCGATTCAACTTTCCACCACGTCCCATTCTGAAGCCAACGAGAATCCATACAAATAATTTCACAGAAAATAACTTCGGAAAGAGCCGGAACGGCTTGAGCGGAAATCTATCTCAGCTCTCTTGATTCCCGAACAACAGCTCGCATTGACAGCCACATGAAGATCATCTATATAAACGAATAAAATTTTGCAAAACTTATCAGAAAGTAATTTGATCGTGGAGTGATAGTAAAAAAGACCTGTTTATTTTCTAATACGTATTGATAAGACAGGCTCACGTAAGTATGACCTTATAAGAAGACAACTTATTTTAACTGGACAGAAAGGCATTTCGGGGCATGTTTAAGGGCACTATCATGTCGTTTTGACAAAATCTTAACTTGATATTCTTCAATATAATTTTTATATATATTATTCAATATAATTTTTATATATAGTTTTTACGATAATATTTTGTTGTTTGTTTTGTTGGGGATTAACGTCACATTAACAGCTAGATTATTAGTGACAGGCTCTCGACTGTTTCTTGTCATTAGACCTCACGACTATTTTCTCTGTAACTTGTGGGTTACGATGTTATTAGTGATGCAGTCGAGATTACACGATAAAATTTTTGGATAGATCATTACGATCAGAAAAAACATCGAAAGTTTGCTGGAATCATCGCAATCTCGAAAAACATAGGATCGGTGCATCTCGTTACGATTTTGGGAGGACTTATCTTGCCTAGGTCTCGACTTTTTCGGTTTTTACGAAACCGAAAACGAAACGAAAAAGTCGAGACCCAGGCAAAATAAGTGCTCAAAAAATCGTGACGAGATGCACCGATCCAATGTCTTTCGAGATTGCAACGATTCCAAAACTTTTGATGTTTTTTCAGGCAGTGATGATCTATCCAAAAAAATTATCGTGTAGTCTCCGCGGCATCACTACATGATGTTCTAACAGTATTTTTCAAGTGAATTATCAGAATGCAATCACACATGACGGTAAGAATCAACTATAGTCAGTTACGTTCTTAAGATACAGGAAACTGTAGGTTGTATGTAGATGCTTCGAACATGCGCAATTCCATTTTCTCTCGGTATTTTAACGTTTTATTTCAAACATTCTTAATGGTGTCCTTATATTATTTGACTAAATGAAATAATCCAGAAATAATTCGCCGGTACCAAGTTGCGAACCCAGGACCTCTGGCTTTGTAGACGGACGCCATACCGACTCGGCCATATACCCGACAGTTTTATTTTTTTATTTATTCATATTTCTTACCTTCTACCATTACGGTTTTGTAGGCTCCCCATTCGTCTTGCCTCTCCCAATTCTCTCTTCTGATTCTTATTTGCGTTACCATGGGCCGTCTTATTCTTAGCTGTACTCCATTTGGGCTAGGACTGCACGGGAAACCATGGAAAACCTCAGTCGTACAGCCGGCCGATTGTGTAGAGCCCTAATGTACCCGTCTGTCGCACTGACTAGAGGGGCACATTAGGCCACTACACCGTGCCTACCTTCCGAAATTTTTGGGCGAGGCTGTTCCTAAGCGGTCACCGATCCAAGTACTAACCACGCTAAATGCAGCTGCGC